GTCCGAACTACCAGACGGAAATACCTTGTTTTCTAGTCAATACTCTTTTAAAATGCAAGAAATATAAAAACGGTCTAAACGGCAAGATATACCATTACCATGCCACGTAGTGGTAACGACATTGGGGAAAAATGATCGAAATGTTTCAAACAACTTAAAATCATGACAAATATTTTGTAATAATTTGCTACCAGGTAGCCCACGTTTTGGATTACCGCCAATTTTATCGAGAGAAATACATTCAATACAATTAAAGTCACCAGCGAAAACGACTGGCCTTCTACAGGAAAAATGATGTAAAATATCCTCAAAAAACAAACACCGCTCCTCATCAACATTAGGAGCGTACACATTTGTAATTCTGAACTCGCTATTAAAATATTTAAAATCAACGCACATGACCCTACCATCTTTGTCCATATGAAATTTCTGTAAGTCAACATTAATAAAAAAAAACAATACAGCCCCGGAGCCGTGCACGCTCACGAGCAGTCAGCTTAACAACAAATAACTTATGATTAGCGAATACTACTATCACCAATAGAAATTGTAAAAGAAAACGGATAGAAATAAACGATAATGTAAAACTAAAATGCGGAACATGGCAAGTATGGCGCACACAGCAAATACCAGAATATGTCTTCAGCAAAAACCAACAAGATATCATGTATGAAGCTAACAAGAATAAACAGGTACATCTTACCTGCGCAGTCAATTGTCCGGAGACGCGTGCTAATATACAGAATAAATAAAATATGATATAGGAAATACACATTAACAGCAAACTTTATATTACAAATCAAGGTATTGTTTCTACAAAAATTCATACCATTGCTAATAAGGAGGAAATATTTGTTTATTGAAAGGGCTAAGGTAAGTAGAAGCAAAAATACTAATCTATGAGTGCAAGCTAACAAGGCATGAAATCGAGAAAACACGTGAAGTTGTCAAGTAAAGAAAACATAGCACAGGTGAAAGTTTAAGTGTAGAAAAAGCTGACAATACGCAACATTCGACCAAGGTAAATCGGTGCTGTAATGTGGTATTCATAAATGAAAGGGCAATAACATGCACGCATATTACAACAAAAAATTGACTTTAAACATGTTTCGCGGGTAGATCTATCGAGATAAAAATCATTATCTAGCCGAATAAAGAAATGAACAAAAATAGAACATAAAAAAGGAGAACAAAGAAAAATTATATTTACTGTAAACACCATATAGGTTAGAACATAGTCCAGGGATATGCTAGGGTCAATCAGGAATCGCATTGTCGATTGGAATATTTAAGTCTGTTAATCAAAAACAAAACGAAACACTCGCGAACCAGGGTGACCCTCGTCGATTACCAGTTCACCCTCGCTCTCTTCTGACTGGTTGTCCTCGTGATAGTCCATTGTAGATTCTGGAAGCTTCTGTCCCGGGACTAAGTCACCATTGGACAGAACCATAGGGGAAAAAGCGGAATGCCTGCCCTTCTTTGAAGCCTTCTGGAATCCCTCCTCGTCGACTTCAGGACCTGACCTCTTGGTGGATTGGGCGTTGTTAACACTGCTCCCTCCGGACGAGGGGCTCGCAGTATCCTCCGTTGGCCGTTGCGAAGGTTCCGCTGACACGACCTCCTCCGGTGCAGGAGGGGGATCTGCGGCAGCACTCAGCAAGGTCATCTCCGGTACAGCAGTGGTGGACTGGGAGACTTTGGCAGCATAGGACATACGAGTTGTCTGTTCAGGTCAGCCACCTTCCCGAACATTCTGCTTCTGTATGGGATCAAATCCTGATCGCCTTCCCTAATAACAAGGGTAAGGACACGGGTTCCGGTCTCCAGGCTTACTTCTCCAATGGTCGTGGTTTCTCTGGAAACATGGACTACTTTCCCATAATGTCCGTCAAAATGTTCCGCAATGGCGTCATCGGATATCCAAGATGGCAGCCATTGCACACGGATGGACAAACGACGTTGGTCACACCGTTCCGGGACTAAAGAAAAGTATGTCTCTTTCATCGGACCCTTCTCAACAACACGACCAACATAAATCTCTGACCGCAAGGTAACAAACCAAGTGTTTGGAGCCTCACACCGGAAAACGGTAATTATCTCTTCACCCGGGAGCCCTGATGCTAGTAGACACTTCACTATTTCAAACCTAGTGACGCTGTGTTTCCTGGGACCGGTGACGAACATTCTAACCGACTTCTTCAACACACCAACATCAATGAAATCCATGCTGGTTTTTCTTTTTCATAAAAATTTTATTTACAAATACATTAAAAGATGGTAACATCACAGTATAGCGGCAAATTTGAAGTAACAATGAATATGTCATTCCTGGTTATACTTGGATGAAAAAAAAGAAAAAGTATTGCATTAATGCATAGATTTGTAATATGTAAATGAGAAATTCGATATAAGCACACATCATTGCATTGACTACTAAAACAATGAACCTGAAATGTACGTTAATTTACCGAAATGTTCGAAAACATTAAAAACTAATTTCACATGTTTTTTTATCTACATCTACAAGGGGAGATTAATAATAAGAACATCTTCTTTCACATTACAGAAGATTTGTGTGGTACACCAGTACTCAGAAAAGAGATTTTTGGGGAAACTGGCAAAATCGGACCTTATACGCAATACTACATTATTTAGGAAATGACAAACAAGAGAATCGGGAGTAGGAGATTTCTGGTGATTTTTTTTTTGGAACAACGAATCTGCCAAATAGTTGATAGAGATTCTGCAACTAGATACAAGATCAGAGATTTTAGTTTCAGAGTTAGATTGACAGGAGCATGAAAACGCCACAGTGCCGAATCAGTAGGGACCTTCTTGTCTGAGATCTGGTGTATCCAAGAGTTCACTAAATTTAAAAGAGACTGAATGAAATAACACTCATAGAACAAATGTGATATAGTTTCAAAGCCATCACAAAATATACAATATTTTGAGGGATCAATCCCAAACTTATACATTCGAAAATTGACTGGTAGTATGTCATGAACTATTTTGAAAACGACATCCCGGGCTCGGTTATCTAAAAACTTATTTGAAACATTACGAAATACCGGCACAAAATCCACCGTAGGAAAGACTTTCAGGACACGAGGTGGCTTGATAATTTTAGACAATAAAGAGGTGTAAAAACACTTGGTAGTAAAGGACTCAAAATTAGAGTCGGAGAAATGATCACGATATTTCTGAAATACTTTATTATATACAGTAGAATAAAATGCCGGGCAACAATCACTGTGAGGAGAGTTATTATCAACAAATTTGAGAAAATCACGAAACTGCAAAGAAAGCCAATACATTGTAAACCTTCTCCATTTTGCATCGGAAGCATTATAGATAAAATTCTGACAATGTTTCAGATAAAATGAGTGTAATTTGACCTTGATATTAACAATAGCAAGACCACCACTGGTGGGGGAGGCGTAGGCCGAGGAGCGCAAGTGGCTCCCTTTTTGAATTCCAAAGGAATCGAAACAGAGTTCTCTGGAAATGTTCCAAATAATGCTGAGGCATTATGAAAACAGTACCTGTATACCAGATCCTGCTGCATGCAAGGACCTTTATAATAATAGATTTTTGCATCAAAGATAATTTGCGCATTTTCCATAAATCTAAGGTCCTAGAGAATTTTTTGAAAACCGGCTGCCAAATATCGTCAGGGGAAATACCATTACCAACCCAAACTCCACAAATTTTATGCTTTTCTACCCATGTTATACCAAAAGGATGATCGGAACGGGATTTCCATTTCCCCAGCCAAATACCCTTAGTTTTCTGCCTATTTAATGTAGCCCCTGACGCTTTGACGTACACATCACACCAGTAGAACAATTTTTGAATAGATAAATCGCTACAGCAGATACCGGTACTGTCATCTGCATATAGGGAAAGTTTTGCTGACTGTGTGGAACCCGGAATCTTTACACCTATAATTTCAGGGTCATCACGAATCTTTTTAGCAAAGGGTTCCAAAACCAAAACGTATAACAGGGGAGATAAACTACAGCCTTGCCTTACACCACGAGTGATGGAAAAGGGGTCAGAAATAAAACCATTAACAATTACAGAAGAAAAAACATCCTTGTATAAGATACCAACCCATTTGATAAAATCGGGGCCAAAATTGAAGGCTTTTAGTACTTTAAATAAAAATTGGTAATTTACTCTGTCAAAGGCCTTCTCTTGATCTAACGATATAAAAGAACACTTTAAATCTTTTTGATTTACATAATCTACAATATTACGCAATAAATGACAATTCTCAAAAATGGACCTCCCCTTTATAGAACATGTTTGGTCAATGCCAACAAGTTTGCCAATCACTTTACTTAACCTATTAGTTATGACTTTAGACAGAATTTTATAATCGATATTCAAAAGAGAAATAGGTCTCCAATATTTCATATTAGAAGAATGTCTTGGATCCTTACACAACAAAGAAATAAAAGACATTTTCTGGGAGGAACATAACTCCCCCTTTTTGAATATCTCATTATATAAAGACACTAATTTATCTCTAAAAATATCAAAAAACATAACATAAAATTCTTTAGTTAAACCATCAGAACCTGGAGATTTATTATTTTTCATATGCTTAAGAGCTGCTAATACCTCATCTTTCCCTATCGGCCCTTCACACATAATATTATCAAAACTAGATAAACTGGGAAGGTCTTTACATAACGAATCAGCTAATTTAAAATCAATTGGTTCTTCTGTGAAAAGATTGGAATAAAAATCCCGGAAAGCTGATAAAATGGTTAAAATAGGAGAGATTACGCCGAATATCGACATGCTTATGATATTCAACTAAAATTGGTAGAAAACAATACCACCAAAACAGAACAACACTTACTGTAAACACCTTTAAGGTGGGGAGAAACTCAAAGTCCGGGGACATGCAGGGGTCATTAAGGAATCGCAACACCGCCATAGTGATAGTAGAGAGTTCAGAGTCCGTCATCAAGGTATAATCACAATTACTCCAGGTCCTCATCGATGATCAGGTTGTCCTCAGACATGTCCGAGACACTATCTCCCTCACAGACCTGCTGACCCGGAACTAAGTCCCCATTGGAAAGAATAGCCGGCGAAAACGACGAATGCCTCCCCTTCTTGCTGATCTGAAACCCATCATCCGTGTCGGGGCCAGACCGCTTTGTGGTCGCCGAACCTTGTGGACTGCTCCCTCCGGTTGAGGAGCTCGCGGCAGGATCGCTCTCTCCAGGCGTCGCGGTAGGAAAAGGACCGCGCCCTCCGGGCGAGAGGCTCACGGTGGCACCACTCCTTTTCGAATCCTTAGGGCCTATGGAAGTTTCACCCTCTGAATGGGACGTCGGCGGTGGAAGAGGAGCCGTACACTGGATTACCTTTGCGTAGGTAGCCCGAGTCGTCGGCTCTGGTCTCTCTGGACACTGCGACCGCACGTGCCCTATCTGCTGGCAACGCAAACATATGGGAGGTCGACCAATAAGGGCAGTCCTCCCGAACATTCGCATTCGATGCGGGATAACGTCCTGTTCACCCTCCCGTATAATCAATGTCATCACTCTTGTGCCGGTTTCCAGGGAGACTTTTCCAATGGCCATCTTCTCTCGCTCGACGGACACCACCTTTCCGTAGAAACCATCGAAAAGGTCAGCTATGGCGTCATCCGACATCCATGAGGGCAGCCATTGCACACGGATAGTGAGCCTTCGCCGGTCACATGGATCCGGATGGAGGGCAAAGTGTTCCCTTTCAATGACACCTGCTTCAACTATGTTATTGACATCGCTTTCGGAGGCAACTGTGGCAAACCAGGAGTTAGGAGCTTCGCAACGGAACACCGACTTCAGGTTTTTGGGAACGAGACCGCCATCAAGGAGTGCCTTCACAATTTCGAATCTGGTGACAGAATTCCGTCTTGGTCCGGTTACGTGAAACCTCACGGAGCTCTTCAAAACATCAAGGTCTATATGCGCGTCAGCCATAGTGAAGAACCAGCTATATGACTACCTGGGGGAACTTTTTTTTTTTTAGTTTCATAAACTCATGCATTGTGCACTTGAAACATTTCATATCTCTGCACATCGGCCCACACATACTGAAATATGTTAAAACTATACATGTCCACGGAGACAAGATCCTGCAGATTTCTTCTGTTATTAAGCGAATAATACAACACTATTCACGAGTTTTATACGATGCAAAGATTACATCAATTGTATCGACTGATTTTGTTTAGATGCCCTTTTCTCTCCTACCGTTACTGCTATGCTTGCTTGTTTGATCTTTCATACCGAAATATTCCACTGATTGCTTTGTAATCCTTGAGTCTACTTGGTCGGGCCGTTCATTCAGATATATTTCATGAAAATCTGTGTACTCCCTGTGTCCTTTTATTTGGCGATGAAGGCGTTGCCATCCTATGATTCTTAGAACAATTGCGATCTTCTGAGGAAGTTGTCTGAGCTGCACTTGAGATGAGTTGTTCGAAATATTTCACATTTCATTTGCATTACCACGATCCACCTCTGAAAAGCTGTTTGAACATTTCTTATTTGTAGCAAGTGATCCTGATGACAATTGAAATGCAATGTAATATACAAATATGATTTGCAATGCAAGGTGGTCTGCAGTTAGAAAACACTAGTTATTTGGCCGTCGATATGCTGTTTGCAAGTGGTATAATTTGCTGCAGAATGCAGTGTTTGTGCACTTAAGTGGTGATATTAGTACAGGCTTGTGACGAACGCCACGTGTAGTGTATTTGTATTATTGCTTGTTTATGGACGAGGGTTAGCGCGAACGCAGACCCCCACACTAAAAAATAGCGTACCCGAGTAATCCGCATTTGGGATTATCGCAGGGTTCAGCCCGACCGGAGTGCAATGGAAGGGCCTCGACCTGGGGGAACCTTTTTAAGTTTCATAAAAAGTTTATTAACATATATACAGGTAAAAACGTCACGAGACAGACCCTAATGACGCCAGCGACTGATGTACAACCGGTAGCCCCGGTAAAGTGCCATTATCCTTACATCCTAAGATGGACAAGATATGTAAACGAAGTTACCTGGTTACACGATAGTTAACATAATTAATATGTTAAGAATAATGACAATCATCGGTATTAATTGATATAAGTCACAGCAGGTTTCTTGGTTATAACGGGAGATTGATGTTTAGGTCGTCATCCCGCAAGGTACAGAAAATATCAGTAGTACACCAATACTCAGAGAAAGTGTTTCTGGAAAAGCGAGTAAAATCAGACTTAATGCGAAGAATAACATTGCTGAGAAAGTGACAGACGAGAGAATCAGAAGAAGGAGATTTTTTGTCATATTTTTTAACACAACGTATATGCCAAATGGACGATAGGGATTCTGCCACTAGAAAAAGGACAAGAGACTTTACTTTTAGAGTGAGACATACTGGTGAATGAAAATGCCAAAGTGCCGAATCAGTTGGGATCTTGTTCTCTGAGATCTGGTGTATCCAAGAATTTACCAATGATACTAACGGCTGAATAAATGGACAGTCAAAGAATAAATGTGAAATGGTTTCAAAACCAGTAAAGAAAGTACAAAATTTACAGGATTAAGCACCATATTTATACATTCGAAAATTCACAGGTAAAATCTCATGTACTATCTTAAAGACAACATCACGTGAGCGAGTATCTAAAAACTTATTTGAAATATTGCGAGAAAAAATTTTAAAATCAACAGTTGGAAAAATCTTCACAACTCGTGGTGCCTTAGTAATACCAGCTAATAACGCAACGTACAACTCTTTGGTTGTCCCAGACTCAAAATTAGACTTGGGGAAGTCTTTTCTATATTTCTGAATAAAATGTAGGACACCACTCACTATGTGGAATACTATTGTCAACAGGTGAAAAATATTCTCGAAAATGTAATGAGAGCCAGTACTTGGTAAAATACCTCCACTTGGCCTCGGTATGTTTGAAAACAAAATCCTGACAATGTTTTAGATAAATGGCTTGAAATTTACGTTTAATGTTAACAATACCAAGTCCACCACTAGTAATAGGCTACGGAGCGCGCAAGTGGCTCCGACTTGGAATTCCATAAAAATCTAAACAAAGTTCTCTGTAAAAGATCTAAATAATGCTTTGGCATTATGACGGTAGTACCAATATACCAAAGTTTGCTGCAAGCAAGGACCTTTATAACTATGGACTTTTGTGTTAAAGATAAATTTCGCATTTTCCATAAATCCAAGGTCCTTGAAAATTTCCGAAAAACTGGCTGCCAAATATCGTCAGGAGTAATGTTATTGCCAATTAAAACCCCACAAATCTTATGTTTTTCAACCCAACTAATGCCGAAAGGGTTATCTGAACGTGATTTCCATTTCCCAAGCCAAATACCCTTAGTTTTCTGTTTATTCAATTTAGCACCTGACGCTTTGCCATACAGATTACACCAATAAAATAATTTTGAAATAGAGGAATCGGAACAGCAAATACCGGTACTATCATCTGCATAGAGGGAAATTTTAGCTGACTGAGAGGAACCCGGAAGTTTTACACCAGTTATTTCAGGATCGTCACGGACTTTTTTCGCAAAGGGCTCCAAGACCAAAACATATAAAAGAGGAGATAAACTACAGCCTTGCCGTACACCACGAGTGATAGGAAAGGGGTCAGAAATAAACCCGTTAACAATAACGGACGAACAGACATTTTTGTATAAGATACTTACCCATTTAGCAAAATCAGGACCGAAATTGTAAGCTTCAAGTACCTTAAATAAAAATGTATAATTTACTCTATCAAAAGCTTTCTCTTGGTCAAGAGATATAAAAGCACACTTTAAGTCTTTTTGATTAACGTAATCAACAATATTACGAAAAAGATGACAGTTTTCAAAAATAGATCTATCTTTTATCGCGCAAGTTTAGTCAACCCCAAGAAGTTTATCAATAACCTTACTTAACCTGTTGGTAATAACCTTGGAAAGAATTTTATAATCAATATTCAGGAGAGAAATGGGCCTCCAGTTTTTCATACTATCAGAATTACATGGATCTTTACATAATAACGATATCAAAGACGTTTTCTGGGTGTCACATAGCTCACCCTTCTGAAAAATGTCATTGTATAATGTGACAAGATGATCTCCTAATAAATAAAAAAAAAAGTAAGATAGAATTCCTTAGTGAGACCATCACTACCAGGGGACTTATTGTTCTTCATATGCTTGATAGTAGCTAATATTTCCTCCTTCCCTATAGGACCTTCACACATTGACATTTCAAGTTCGTTCAGTTTGGGAAGGTTATCACAAAAAGAGTCAGCCAACTCAAAATCGATATCTTCCTCGGAAAAAAGTTTGGTATAAAAATCTCGAAAGGCCGCTAAAATGTCACTGGAATTAGTAACACAGGAAGAATCAGGTAAGTCGATTTTCTCTATGAATTTCTTCTTACCCTTATCACACTCCATTTTAAAGAAATAACGTGAAGGCTTTTCAGAAAAGTCTAAACAATTAGCTCTAGACCTAATCATAGACCCCCTGAAACTATCAGTATGAAAATCAAGTAGTTGTCTCTTAATAGACTGAACTTGGTCAATAAAGTGTCCAGGTGACTTTTTTTTCTAAATTATACAACTTATATTTTTCTTGTAAAGATCTGACAACAGAACGTTTAACTTTTGCTTTACGTTTACAATATCCAATAATGAAATATTTGATAACAGATTTACAATTATCCCAATGATCTAAAGACACAGGCTTATTGTCAGTTAGATCAAGCCAGAAATCTTTAAAAGCAATCTGAAAGGCTCTATCGCTCAAAATACTATTATTAAGTTTCCAGTAAAAGGGTCCAAACTTATCCTCAGAAAATAGTTTAATTTTTAGAAGAACAAAATCATGGTCGGAACTACCAGACGGAAAAATTCTATTCTCTAATAAATGCTCTTTCAATATACATGAAATATAAAATCGATCTAAGCGGCATGAAGCACCATTACCATGCCAAGTAGTAGAAATGACATTCGGAAAAAGTGATCTAAATGTCTCAAACAACTTAAAATCATTACACAGATTTTTTATTGAAACACTACCAGGAAGACCACGACTGGGATTACCACCAATCTTATCAAGGGAATTGTTTTCAATACAATTAAAATCACCAGCAAAAATGATGGGCCTTCTACAGGTAAAATGATGTATAATATTATCAAAAAATGCCCGACGCTCCTCATCAACATTTGGGGCGTATACATTAATAATTCTGAACTCGCTATCATAATATTTAAAATCAACAAACATGGTCCGTCCTTCTCTATCAAGATCAAACTTTTGTAGTTTTACATCTATGAAAAACAAAACAGCTGTGCCCTTACTATTATATGAACCGAAATTCCATATTGCTTTACATTTCAAAAAACTTTCAATCTTTTTACCGACAAACAAGTTAGAAACATGAGTTTCTTGTAACAATACAACATGTGCATTATGATTATGTTACAGGATTAATGCGTGCTTTTCTCCTGTTCTGAGGAATTAGCTCTGTGTAATAGAGAATTGAGGCTTCTTTGAGTTTCCGATGTTTATTGTTGAATGTCGAATAAAAAGTGCGACCTTTACATCAATACAAATGAATTATACCTAAACTAAACATGTATCGAATTACATACAATGTGCTTAACGCCTAGATGTTTACCAAATAAGTTATGGATTTAAATGACAAAATGTTGCGCGAGCGCTTACAAGTTACATAAAGACATTAACCGGCCAAGGCCAGTTATCGGGTACCTACTATTAAAATACATATAACAATCATCCACAAAACATTATGAATCGTATACTCCCTTATAAGAACTGCTTCCGTGCTCCAAATCTCTAATCCTATCCAAAATTAACGATTATGTTATTTCGATAAAACCGCGAGCACAACGGAAGTTAAACATAAGCTATAAAATTAGAATCAATTCCGGAATGACCAAAATATCCGGA